TACATTTTTCATTAACACGTGCCCTGATTACCCCCTCCGTTGAGCTACTAAACGGGGAACGTTGACCGCCAGTCTGTAGTCAGATCGTTAATAAATTATACTTTAAAATTGGTTGCCGGGTGATGGTGTCAGTGAGAGACGTTAAGTTAGGTGAACATTGGTACAAAAATATAATAATCTAGCAGTTTATCTCAAAGTTAAAATCACTATTTGTTAAAGTATACAAACAGTTCTATTCAAAAGAACAAAGTCCGAGAGCAGAGAGAAGATTTGGAGACTATACACGCATATGTGGGGTTTAAATTTGGTATTAGTAATTTTAGGGTTCGACCGATAATGTTGGTCGGTTGGTTAATAGGGAGCAGTCACTGTCATTAGAATTATCAGATTAGGAGCAACAATTAGAATCAAATTGGACATATTGTGTATTGTGTATTGTGAAATCAGTGAAACCTAGAATGGCGCCAAAATGCTAGCGCGCCTTGTTATGCGCGCTAACATACTAGCTGCTGAAAATAAAGAAGTATATGCATGATAATGTCGTTTGGCGGCAGCGCCTGCCGATACCTGGATTATATTGTGTTTAACTTAGAATTCAGTGAAATTTTTGTCATTCCATTCAGCACCATACCTGTTTTGGGCATTCATCAATGACTTTTGTAATTTATTCTTAACAGAAGAACAAGAGGAATTAAAATTAAATGAGCCAATTTTACAAAACTCATTCCACAGCCACGCTGATTTATAGATGAATTGTTTAGTTGGAGAAGGTGTGATTAACATATTGTCTTTCCTATGAGATATGGTGAACAAAGAGAACATTGAAATTGGTACTCTTGTCTTAATTATCTTAAAAAATTCCATTAGGCAACGTAGTCTATATAGGTTCTCTACAGCTAGTAATTTATGTTTTGCAAATAGAGGTTTGGTAGACTCCTTAACATAAAAATCGCAACCCAAACGTTGGGAGCCGAACGGTCTAACTCTAGCACATGTTTTGAATTTGTCTACATACCTTTTATGGTCTCTGAATAGAATTCTTATACATTTCTTCTGAGTAATAAATAGTGGTTTTAACTGGATATTAGGAATACCTCCCCACACAGAAATAGCAAAACCGAGATGTGATTCAAAGAGAGAATGGTAAATTTGTTTATATAGTGATTCTGGTAAGCATTTCTTAATACGGTAGATACGTCCACAAGCACTGCTTAGTTTTTTGTTAAGAGATTGTATGTGTGGTTTCCAACTTAATTTGTCATCAATAATAACTCCAAGGAATTTAGTTTGACTAACACGCTTGATTACCTTGTTATTCATGGATAGGTAATAGCTATCTATATCGGCGTCTAATTCATTATTGTTACGTTTATTTGGAGAGAAGTACATGTAACAGCACTTTTTTACATTAATTTGTAGTAGGTTTACTATCATGTAATTATTAACAGCCTGCAGTATTTTGTTAGCCATGTCATATACCTTATCCTTTGAGTCGGCTGCAACAAATATATTAGTGTCGTCAGCAAATAGAACAAATTTACCTAGACTTGTTATATTACAAATATCATTTATGTACAGTATGAACAGTAGAGGTCCGAGCACACTCCCTTGGGGGACTCCAAATTCTACAGGTAATTCATCAGATTTTACATCAAGAACGTCCACAAATTGTTTTCTATTAGATAAATAACTAGAGATAAGATTTAGAGCATTTCCTCGGATACCATAGTTATTTAATTTTGTTATTAGCTTAGAGTGGTCTAGGGTATCAAAGGCTTTAGAAAGATCTACGAAGACACCTAGTACGTGCTGCTTTTTGCTAGTTAACGATTCAATATGTTCTACAGAATAATTAAGTGCATGACTAGTGGAATGCCCTTTTCTGAAACCAAATTGGTTTTCATGAATTATTCCCTTAGAGGTTAAGAAACTATACAACCTAGCATATATCAGTTTTTCTAGTATTTTCCCAAAAACAGGTAGTGTCGATACGGGTCTATAATTTCCTAAAAGCTGTTCATCTTCCTTTTTGTAAATCGGACTAATTCTCCCTGTCTTTAGTTCTTCAGGAAATAGGCCTTCTTGCATGCATCTATTGAAATACTTCACTAAATACGGTGCAATTACTTGACACGACTTCTTAATTACATGAATAGGTATGTCGCTTGATTTACCATTTTTTAATTCGTTTATGGTCTCTATCATTTCAGCACTGTCACAGTCTTTAAGATAAATACTGGATGTGATGGATTTCGGGAGGTAGTCGGTAAATGTTGGTAAATCATTTATTCTTAAATAGTCATGAGAATACACTTCATTAAGATTAGATGCAATGGAAGCAAAGTACTTGTTGAACTCATTTGCAATTACACGACGATTGGTTACACGCTCATTATCAATAATAAAGTTAGGTTTCGTCTGACGTCTCTTCTTACCACGTAATTCGTTAATTATCTGCCAAGTTTTCTTGCTGTCACCAATACATTCAGCAATCTTTCCCCCGTGATACTTATGTTTTGCACAATTAATGAGCAGTGGCGTAACAACTGCCCCTGCTAACCCTGCTAGCAGGGGGGCGGTACCTTAGGGGGGCGGCATTTTCCTGGATTGTAGGTCTGATTTCACGGAAAAAGCGCCTTATAGGTGTACTACCCTGTCGAATTTAGCGTTCGGTCGACGTGAAAAAAATATTTGGGGTACCATTGTTGCTTCAGGGGGCGGCAAAAAGGTGTAGGGGGTGGCAAAAAAAGTACCCGACCTTTTTTTTTTTTTTTTTAGGGACACAAAATTTTAGGGGCGGGAAAGGGGCGGCAAATTTCAATCAGCAGGGGGGCGGCACAAAGTAACGTTACGCCACTGTTAATGAGGTGGTTTAATAACTTCCGGTGTGCTTTAAATTCCTGATGACGCATTACTTTATTTGTACAGTGATAACAAAGACAGTCTGATTGGTTGGGTGTTGAAGTGTTAAGACATGCCTTTTTTCCTGCCTTTATCTTAAGTTCATAAAGCTCATGTTTTCTATTTACAGAGTTAATTAGGCCTGACGTAATCCACGGATTATTCCTAGCGGTTCGTTTAGAACACTTAGGTTGCTCTAGTTTACATGCGTTGTCTAGTTGTTGATTAAATACTGAGACAAAGTCGGTGAAATTCTCTGGTGGCATATTTAACAAATCGTTATCGAGTGCTTTAACAAAATGATCAACATTAGTTCCACAATAATCGTAGTATTGGGTGTACTTTTGCTCGTGGGCCTCATTACTGACTAGGGGTGATTTGAATATGTGGAATACAGCGTGATGATGGCTGATGCAAGTACTTATTGATCCAGAGTAAACAGAATTTTCTATGTTGGTAGTGAGTATGTTATCAATGCATGATTGCTTACATCCTGGTTTGTGGTGCGTGTAGGTGGAGATTAGAGGTGACAGACCAAGGCCTAATATCAAGTTTTCGAAGTCCTGGACAAGTTTGGTGTTTTCATCATGTAAATCAATGTTAAAATCGCCAATTAGGTGGACATTATTCTTTGGACATTGTTCAATAATCTTTATGCCATTTATTACAGATTAAACAAGTTTACAATAAATCAATTTGATATTTAACGGAATCCTAATTCAATGTGCAGTATGGTTGTCACTCTTTAAATAGATTAGATATAGGTTGACGGGGCAAAGGAGTGTGCGTGCTGTTCGCTATTGCTCACACCAAACGGCAACCTAGTAAATGTTTTGTATGAGCACCGGTCTCCATCACGAAACAAAATTAGGATTGTAGAATTTATTGTATAACTATTAGTGCAGTGGAGGTAGCGGTGTGGTGCATTAATAGAGTGACAGCCTACTGATTTAGAGTTGTTTTTAAGTGAGCATAATGGGTGTATTTTTGGATCTAATGGCAACTTTAAAATTTGTTCTTTTAATCATTTATTAAATATCAGTTTAAAAATATATAAATCTAGAATCTGTTCACTCTGTGAACCAGTCCTAAAAAAATTCCAAAAACCCTCCTAAATTAAATATTAAAAACGTCTCAGTAATGGAAATAGTCATACAATTAAGAAATTATCCAAATTCTTAATATCTACCTAAGAGAAAAATACCTACCTAAGTCAATTTCTACCTGTAATACACTAAATATTAGGTTAAATACATAAGTGGTGGAGTCAGCACACATTTACCAAAATCAAAATTGTTTAATAGGAGGAGCCTGTGGGCCGAGATCACTGGATTAAATTTGATGAAGGGGATTGTTTTCAAATGACAGCTGCATTATGTCATAATCGCTTGTGGTCCATGCCGAATCATTATAAGCATGTTGCAGCTTTAGAAGTGCCTTTTTCAGGCGACTTTTAGCAAAAATCAAATTCAAAATTATGCAATCAATCACTATACATCCACGATCATATGAGCAAAACACAAAACTTTGTAATATACTGTTTCTGTTTGAGATTTGAATAACGTTACTGTAATGTTTCAAATAATATTTTAAATGTTCAAAATGTACCACCAAAATTAATAAATTATTAACTACAACTTTATTTTTTTTTAAATTTCAAATAAATTCAAAAAGCATCCCCAAAAGACTAGCCTGTAGTCAGATCGTTAATAAATTTTAATTTAAAATTGATTACCGGGCGATTGTGTCAGTGAGAGACGTTAAGTTAGGTGGGCTATTATATTGACTAGGTATTGAGGTTTAATGATGATATGGAATTTGAATTCTATATAATTTTACACTATGTGGTTGGGGCATTTTGCATAGTAAATATGGTTACTACTCATATATATCATATTATTTGATTGGTATTCGATTTCTGATTATTTCTCTAGGAATATGATTATTATATCTCAATTTGGCTTTAGGTAGGGTGCCCCGCTAAAAGAACTGGATTCTTCCAGGAAGCATCCCGTGCACAGAGCTTGGTCTACATATATATTAAATTATTAACCATTCATTCTGTATGTGCACGAAAATTTATTTCAATCAAAACAAAAATATAATAATATAGCAGTTTATCTCTAAGTTACAATAACTATTTGTTAAAGTATACAAACAGTTCCATTCAAAAGAACAAAGTCCGAGAGCAGAGAGAAGATTTTTGAAACTATACACGCATATGTGGGGTTTAAATTTGGTATTAGTAATTTTAGGGTTCGACCGAAAATGTTGGTCGGTTATAGGATGTTAGAAGTGCAGTAGGGTCAGTTTCAGACGAATTAAGCATAAATGACTTCATTGCCATGCCTGAAGTGGTTTGTAAATGGGCCTTTGTTAGCCCCAAGCGTTTTGGTCCCTCATTCCTGCCACTCAGCATTGCCTACTGTAAAGTAGACATTTTTCTAAGACAATAGAGAAACTGACCTTGTCTCACTAAATTCCCCTAAATTCAACCACTTGCCATAATAAAAATACTAACAACCAAATAAAGTTTTTTAAATAATTATATACAATAACCAAAGAATATTTCCTCAAGTTTACTTCTAGTTAACTAATTCGTGGTTTAAACTCTTATTTCATTTATGATTAAAGGAATGTAAAATAAAACTTATTGTTTCATTGAAAACTTATTGTTTCATTGATTAAACATTATGGGAATCATTCAGGCTGCCCAATAAAGGTGTCGTGTCACAGTGTCACATAATCACCCAGCAAATTTTATCAAATAACGGAGTAGTTCGCTGTTTATTAGTCTCATGATTGAAATACTGATAGTTGGATAATATCCGGTTGGAAGAGACAAGGACAAGTGAAACAAGGAAGTTAGGATTGAAGGCAAATTTTCGGCGTCAACGCCATCTTCAGGCTAAAATTGGTACAAATGTTAGTATATAATTATTTAAAATGCTTCTATACTAGTTAAAATGCTAAATTAAAATTACACACACTGAATACAGGTTACATCAAATGGTATTATAATTTATATATTACATTGAAAAAACACATTGAAACTCAAGAATGTGTATGATATTACAGAACCACGACACCATATAATACGCAGGTATTTTGGTAAGGACGAATATTCTCGATCTGGGAACATTCCAACGGCGAGCCATCATGTTACATAAATTAGTTACATATATCAAAGCATACAATTTCTTATTCGCAGTATAGTAGTAGGGACCTGTTATGTGTACAGTTAGCGATATTTGTAACTGTTTATCATAAACATATGACAAAGAATGTAAGCTCAATAAAATGTAATTCATATATATGCTCTACTAATGACAAACTAGATGTTGTTCACCGCAGACATCTTCGCACTATTTTGAATATAAAGTACCCAGGGGTCATCTCCAACAAAAACTTGCATTATAAACGCTGCAATGCTGAACCATTGTCAGAAAAAGTGGCCCGTAGTCGGTGGAGAATGTTAGGACATGTTTTGCGGGGTCCTATTGACGGACCAGCGTTTTCTTCCCTCATTTTTGCCATCAATACACTGGACTTACCAGGGAGAAGAGGAAGACCCCAAAGCAATCTATTCTCGCTGATTGTACATGATTTATGTAAAAGAAATCTTTATTCGAATAATATCTTTGACCTGCATTATCTCCGTAATTAAGCTTATAACAAGAGATATTGGCGGAAATTACAACGAAGTTTTAGATTTTTTGTTTTTGTTTTAGGGAAAGATTAGACTTGGGAGTTGTTTTTAACTATCCCTTGTTTAGAACTTCATAAAATATGCTTTACTAAAATGTTGGTCTACTTCAAAATTAGTCGCCGAAAAATTTAGTCACATGAAATTTGGTTTACAACAATTTTAGTCAAAAGTTTGACTAAATTTATGGTAGACTAAATTTGTCGTTCTTAAGGTATCTAGATACTGCCATACTTTGGTGGGAGGGATGACACTAGATACTTTAGTTTCATATTGATTATCCATTTTGTTGTATTAGTTACATAAGGGTGTACTGTAATTTGCGAATATTCAAATTTTCTTTATCAAAATTTACTTTGGACGTTTTTTTCAGAGATGGATGAGAACATAGATTTTGATGAATTTATGGAGGTAGATGAAATTTGTGAAGATGAAAATGTAGTTAAAATACAAGATACTTCTGTGGAGGTAATCAAATCAAGTCCTAATGATATTCAATCATTTAATACAGACACTGCTAAAGACCTCAAAGAAGGCTCTATAGTAACAGAATGTATAGATAAAGCTCCTTCAACAGAATGTATAGATAATGTTCAATCTACCAGTTCTAAAAGATCTCACTCAAAACGATCACAACCTCACTACAAAAGATCTCGCTCTCGCTCTAAAGGCTCAAGATCTCATACTAGGAGATCGAGAACTAGAAGATCTCACTCAAAGAGATCAAAGTCAAGATCTAAGAGATCAAAGTCAAGATCTAAAAGGTATAGATCAAAATCTAGGAAATCAAAAAGGTCTAGATCAAAATCCCGAGAAAATCGAAGCAAGTCACCACTTAACAGACATACAATTTCTAAAGACAAGAGTTCTGATGAAAAGGCCACTGATGTAATTTTGAAAGAAGACGATACAAGTTCTAGTAAAGTAGAGACAGAAGTTCAACAAAATTACATTCCTCTCTCCGGAAAGGAACAGAAAAATGCTCCAGAGAAGAATCAGAGAAAGAAATCCTTGTCATACGAAAGGAGGAGAAAGAAAAGTACAAGAGAAAAGTCTGGGAGATCAAGAAGTCGATCTCACTCTAAACGATCTTCAAGACACTCAGGAAAGAGGAAGAGACACCGTTCAAAGTCGAGCAGTAGTAGTAGCAGTAGATCACAGAGTCCGAAATTGAAGACATCCTTTAATCCGAAAAGGCGGAGAACAAATTCACCTCTGTCTGCCAGAAAACGACACATGGGATCCAGGGTATGTTGTTAAACTGGTATAATATTGCAGTATATAACAACCTTTTTTTTAATTCGTCATTTGAAAGCCAGATACCATACCCAAAGGTCGAGCTAAATAGTTCAATTGTGTGGCCTATACAAATTGCATTTTTTCATGATCTGTAATATTTAATGAACTCTCCAACTTCAGAAAGATCCTCCACCATCACTCTCTATCGTCGTATTTGGACTCCCACTCACGTTTAGAGATGCTGACCTTACAAATTTGATTCCTGCTAAAGATTCCACTCTTAGCCCAACATCAGCCTCAATCATTATGGTAGGGATCTTGTGTACCGTTTAAACTGATCTCTTTTCTGATGTCAGTCTTGAGATCTAAGGAATCTTATTACCCGAGATCAAATTATCAATTATTGTTTAACATCAAAATATGATAATAAGTAATGTCAACTGTCCAATTTCTGCACCAATGTTTATTTTTTCAGGACAGGCAAAGTGGTATATCAAAAAGATTTGGTTTCATGAACTACACTTCAGAAGAAAATGCTAAAAGTGCCCTAAACTTTCTTCAAAGTGAATGTGAATTAATAAAAAATTCGTGTGAAATTTCGTGCAAGTTTTCCATAACACAAAGAGCACACTCCCCCACACCTAACTATTACTTAGGATGTAAGAAAACTCTATCAGATCTACGTAACCTACAACCAACTGTCAGTCAGAAATGAGTATTAGCTTTACTTGGTTATTTACTTTGGTTATAACCAAAGTATAACCAAAGTATAACAAACGTATAAATACGTTTAGAAGTTTGTAATTGCCGTTCAGATCCTTGTTTAACGTTTATTTATTTTTCATCCAAGTTTGTCTTTCATAATTGTGTTTCCTATCTTACTTATAAATCAAAGAATTATAAGAGGTTCAGATTGCCATACTCAAATATCAGTGTTTCGTTAATCTGATAAAGTGCAGGTATTAAATTTCTCAAACTAACGTAATTTGATGGACACTTTGCAAGATCAGATAACTAAGATAAGAAAATGATAAGAGGTAAAAATACGTGGAAATACCTGGAAATTCTGACACATCTCCATCTGCAAGTCAGTATAAACCCCTCCAGTTGCAGTATTAGTTCAGAAACGTGTAGCTTGGGTTCATACTGGTGTCGCCAATTGTTCTAACAACTTTTAATGTTTCTTTTCTTCGTTGCACGAGGGTTTTTAAATTATTAATAAATTTATAACATGGTATTTTATGTTTTTTGATGCTATATAATCTTGAAATAAAGTTCGTATTTTAACAAAAGTTGCATGTTTATAACTCTTCATTGTAATAATTTCACAACTCGTTGAAACAATCTTTATTTGCGTACTATAATAGTGATCCTATTGAGTAGGGTGGGGTAAATGTGGCTGTCTTCCTTTTTATTACTCTTGCTGTGTAGCTCTATGGGTACCATGGCAACCAACTTCTTCTCGCTCTCTGCAACCACACTCTCTGGGAGGGCCGTTCAGTTTAGCCAGTACAAAGGAAAGGTGAGCACATTTTATAAATATTATCAATGAGCAAGTATTTGTGGTTAGATTTATATGAAATACAGTCCAAGAGTGTTGTTTTATAATATCATGTTATTGCTCAGGTTGTGTAACTAGTGTAACCCGGCCTTATTGCTCAGGTTGCCCTGGTGGTTAATGTAGCCTCCAAATGAGGGTTCACTAACCGGGACTACTTGGAACTGAACGAACTGCAAAACGTGTTCCCCGATAATCTGGCCATCCTCGCTTTCCCTTGCAACCAATTTGGAGGGCAGGTTTGTTTTGATAATGACTAGAAGGTGGTTGGATAATGTATAATTGATAAATTCGTTAAAAGTTTGGTAAAATTTCAAGATGCTTTATTGGGGAATCAGTCTATCGTTAAATTATAATTGTGGTGATTAGTAGTAGTAGTATTAGTAGTAGTAGTAGTAGTAGTAGTAGTAGTAGTATTTCTAACTATTTTAATATTTTAAATGATAATTCCAGGAACCAGGCTCACCTCAAGATATTCAAGCATTTGCCGCCCAAAAAGCTGCAAAGTTCACTATATTTGATAAGTGTGATGTAAAGGGTAAGAATGTCAGCCCTGTCTACGCTTTTCTTAAAGAAATGTCGGGAAAGGTAAATACAGGACGTTATATTGGCCTTAATTCTCGCTCTTGTAGGGACCCAACTACACACTGCTACTAGAGTAATCCAGTTGACAAATATTAAAAATTAATCTAAACCAAAACCCGTTTAACTCGTGAAAATCTAGGCCTCAGTTAAAATTACTGTTTTTCTGAGTTCAATAATATTATTTCAGAAACCTTTATGGAATTTCACGAAATATCTTGTCGCAAAGAACGGAGTTGACGTCACTTTCTACCCTCATTCAACCTCACCTTCGTCCATGGCTCAAAAGATCCAAAAGCTTATCAACGAAAAGGATGAATTGTAAACGAAATATCATATATTTCTCGTTTTTATATAATTAACTTGATTTTACCAGTTTAAAGATCTTTGTCAGATGTTTTATCTTCTTAAATGGGTTTAATTTATTAACTTTTTATAGCTTTACATTAAATGTTTATATCGTACGTATATTTTTGTACTGAATAAGTTGTGGTTGCCAACTATTCTATTGTACCTTAAGTAATGAACTGTCTATTAGATAACGTGTTGATAGATTGTACTTAGGAATATTTGCAGTTTTTCCTAAGTTACAGTCTGTCATGATATGCACTGTGCAGGGTTAGTGAGACGCTGCGTATGATGAGGTGAGGATAAACCCAAATCTTGGGAACCGATCTTTTGATGATTTGATCTTGCTTACTCCTGCTTATTTGATATTGTTTACTCATGGTTATCAAGTTGTTTTATTTTGTCTCTCTACAAGTTTGTGTTTACGTTGCTGTCAGTTGAAATCCAGAATGCTCTGAATATTTGGTGGAAACAGAATAGGGTAAGCTAGGTAAGCTAGTTAATAGTAAGGTTAAGCTAGTTAATAGTAAGGTTAAGCTAGTTAATAGTAAGGGTAAGCTAGATAATAGTAAGGTTAAGCTAGTTAATAGTAAGGATAAGCTAGTTAATAGTAAGGATAAGCTAGTTAATAGTAAGGTTAAGCTAGTTAATAGTAAGGATAAGCTAGATAATAGTAAGGGTAAGCTAGATAATAGTAAGGTTAAGCTAGTTAAGAGTAAGGATAAGCTAGTTAATAGTAAGGTTAAGCTAGATAATAGTAAGGTTAAGCTAGTTAATAGTAAGGTTAAGCTAGTTAATAGTAAGGATAAGCTAGTTAATAGTAAGGATAAGCTAGTTAATAGTAAGGTTAAGCTAGTTAATAGTAAGGATAAGCTAGTTAATAGTAAGGATAAGCTAGTTAATAGTAAGGATAAGCTAGTTAATAGTAAGGATAAGCTAGTTAATAGTAAGGATAAGCTAGTTAATAGTAAGGTTAAGCTAGTTAATAGTAAGGATAAGCTAGATAATAGTAAGGGTAAGCTAGATAATAGTAAGGTTAAGCTAGTTAAGAGTAAGGATAAGCTAGTTAATAGTAAGGTTAAGCTAGTTAATAGTAAGGTTAAGCTAGTTAATAGTAAGGGTAAGCTAGTTAATAGTAAGGGTAAGCTAGCTAATAGTAAGGGTAAGCTAGCTAATAGTAAGGTTAAGCTAGAGTTAATAGTAAGGATAAGCTAGATAATAGTAAGGGTAAGCTAGATAATAGTAAGGTTAAGCTAGTTAAGAGTAAGGATAAGCTAGTTAATAGTAAGGTTAAGCTAGTTAATAGTAAGGTTAAGCTAGTTAATAGTAAGGGTAAGCTAGTTAATAGTAAGGGTAAGCTAGCTAATAGTAAGGGTAAGCTAGCTAATAGTAAGGTTAAGCTAGAGATAATAGTAAGGTTAAGCTAAGTAAGCTAAGTAAGCTAAGTGCACTTTAGGGGAACCTGCCTCCAACAATCCCTCCTGGTAAAACTAAGCTCATCCTATTGTGCCTCGTATTTTCCATGGAAGTAGTGGGCTCCTGGGAAACTGCTATAAAGTCGTGACAAGACGAAGCAAACTAAATTGATTTCCTTTGGAACTTGGTTTATCAATATCGGTTAATTTATTTTATCAGTTATATTTATAATTAGTTTATTGATCTATTTTACTATTAATTAAATATACTCCAAATAATACAGTATTTCACCTGACTAAACTAAAGTAGTAGGATATGTCAGTACCTATGCCGAACAATATAATGCCACCCCAGATGGCCCACCCATTCCCCGCCTACCAATCTCCGCAACGCATGCCCGTAAGTCTTTACCTGCTTTATCTATTGCTCATTAATCTGAGTGTTCAAGTTGATACGGATAATTAGAGCTTAAGATGGCCTCGAAATATAGCACTTTTAGTGTTAAGAACCAAAGTTGAATTAATTTTGACGAGCATAATGTTTCAGCCTGGAACTCCTCCACAAAGAATGAGTGGACCAGGTCCCTACCACTCGGACCAGTCTAGAAGAACTCCTGGACGCCGACCCAACGTCAAGAGTTCTAGCGGCCCCTCCAACCAACCCTCCGGCCCCTCAATGGGCCCTATGCCTCATCATTCAGTGCATCGTCCTCCTCACAAACCAAAACCGAAGAAGAAAGCCTCCGATCTGGTAATATCCCAGCAGTTACGAGAGCTTGTTCCTGAATCCCAAGCATACATGGACCTGTTATCATTCGAGCGGAAACTAGATGCCACCATTATGAGGAAGCGTCTAGACATACAGGAGGTTTTAAAGAAACCAATGAAGACGAAGAGGAAGCTGCGTATCTTCATCACAAACACTAGCTACACTAACCAGAGTAAATCCCCCGGAGATCAGCTTAACTCAGAGGAGTGCCAAACTACATGGGAGCTCAAAATAGAGGGGAGACTTCTTGATGAGAACGGGCAGGTCAGATCTGACCCTAGGGCTCCTAAGAAGAAATTCAGTAGTTTCTTCAAAAGTCTTATCATTGAACTAGATAAGGAGATGTACGGGCCCGATAGCAACTTCGTTGAGTGGCACAGGAACCCACAAACACAGGAAACTGATGGTTTTCAGGTGAAGCGTCCCGGGGACAAGCCAGTGAAATGCACGATAAACCTCCAGCTCGACTACCAGCCCCAGAACTTCAAGCTAGATCCCAGACTTGGTAGATTGTTGGGTATCCACACGGCTACGCGACCTGTTATTGTGACGGCTCTCTGGCAGTATATCAAGGTATTAAATACTATTTAAATACTATTTACTGAATATTTCCTTATAGTAGCTCATCACAGTCATCAGTCTTTCCCAATTTATCGATAAAGCTGACAAACTTGGGAAACTTGAACGATCGGGGTTACTGTACATTATACGATGTACAGACTACAGAGTATGACTCTATACACATTTAACGTTATAATACAGTGTGTTAAACTGTAATAATCTGTACATTGGAGCTTACTGAAAATTTTTAATTGATTTACAAAACACAAAATTTGCGATATTTGATATTTGATTTTAATAGTTCTTGCAATGTGGAGGTAGTGTGGTAACACACTAATAATAGTTCTTGCAATAAAAGTGAGGGATTATCGCAGTTTATCCCAGATATTTGATACCGCCTTTATTTTGCAGACGAACAAGCTACAGGACCCTATACACAGAGACACCATTAAGTGTGACGAATATCTGCAGAGTATATTCGAATGTCCCACCATGAAGTTCAGTGACATTCCCTTCAAATTGAACCCCCTTTTCCAGCAGCCTCCGGACCCTATAGTTATTGAGCATATTGTTGCAGTGGATCCGGGGGAGACAAAAAGTGTCACCCACTGGGACATAAGGTCATTATTTATTTCTAATTGTAACATTTAGCATATCTATATTATATTTTAAACTTGACGAAATCTCCCCGGCAACGCTGAAAATTGACCAAAAACCGACCCTTCTTCAACTGACCAATTTCAGCTCGCAAATGGAGTTGAAACCTCGCGATTTTAAGCAGGGTTGTAGAAAAAGGAAAGGAAGAGGAGACAGCATTCTTAGAATTTTGATTTCTAGGATTTACATTTTTTATAATTAACTTTTGAAGAGAGGAACAATTAGCGACAGAATAATGGCGTAATTTCATCAAAGGTTAACTGCGCCGTTGCGCAACATCAAAAGATTGCACGTGCGCAAGCAGGCACTGATTAACAACGTGCGATTTCGCGCTATGATACATCTTAACTAGCTCATATTTACGATCAAGCTATGACTATTTCTAACTTTGGTTGTGATTGATATTTTTTCATGCGGTAAAAAGTATCGTTTAGAAAACCCGAATACTTATAACGTTGTCAAATAAAAACATTCTACAGTACAGAGCTAGATGACGAAGAGAAATTGAAACTAAATAGATTTTTAAAATTTCTTCGAACAAAGTTTTCAACCAGCGGGTTTCTAGTCTCCAAGATGTATGAAAATTCAATTCATACTTTTTGGACTATTTAAGATTGTGTACAGCATTTTAGAGGCTGTACTAACCTAAACACTCCGCAGTGTAGAGGTAGTGTTTTAGAGGCTGTACTAACCTAAACACTCCGCAGTGTGGAGGTAGTGTTTTAGAGGCTGTACTAACCTGAACACTCCGCAGTGTGGAGGTAGTGTTTTAGAGGCTGTACTAACCTAAACACTCCGCAGTGTGGAGGTAGTGTTTTAGAGGCTGAACTAACCTAAACACTCCGCAGTGTGGAGGTAGTGTTTTAGAGGCTGTACTAACCTAAACACTCCGCAGTGTGGAGGTAGTGTTTTAGAGGCTGTACTAACCTAAACACTCCGCAGTGTGGAGGTAGTGTTTTAGAGGCTGTACTAACCTAAACACTCCGCAGTGTGGAGGTAGTGTTTTAGAGGCTGTACTAACCTAAACACTCCGCAGTGTGGAGGTAGTGTTTTAGAGGCTGTACTAACCTAAACACTCCGCAGTGTGGAGGTAGTGTTTTAGAGGCTGTACTAACCTGAACACTCCGCAGTGTGGAGGTAGTGTTTTAGAGGCTGTACTAACCTGAACACTCCGCAGTGTGGAGGTAGTGTTTTAGAGGCTGTACTAACCTGAACACTCCGCAGTGTGGAGGTAGTGTTTTAGAGGCTGTACTAACCTGAACACTCCGCAGTGTGGAGGTAGTGTTTTAGAGGCTGTACTAACCTGAACACTCCGCAGTGTGGAGGTAGTGTTTTAGAGGCTGTACTAACCTAAACACTCCGCAGTGTGGAGGTAGTGTTTTAGAGGCTGTACTAACCTAAACACTCCGCAGTGTGGAGGTAGTGTTTTAGAGGCTGTACTAACCTAAACACTCCGCAGTGTGGAGGTAGAGTTTTAGAGGCTGTACTAACCTAAACACTGCGCAGTGTGGAGGTAGTGTTTTAGAGGCTGTACTAACCTAAACACTCCGCAGTGTGGAGGTAGTGTTTTAGAGGCTGTACTAACCTAAACACTCCGCAGTGTGGAGGTAGTGTTTTAGAGGCTGTACTAACCTAAACACTCCGCAGTGTGGAGGTAGTGTTTTAGAGGCTGTACTAACCTAAACACTCCGCAGTGTGGAGGTAGTGTTTTAGAGGCTGTACTAACCTAAACACTCCGCAGTGTGGAGGTAGTGTTTTAGAGGCTGTACTAACCTAAACACTCCGCAGTGTGGAGGTAGTGTTTTAGAGGCTGTACTAACCTAAACACTCCGCAGTGTGGAGGTAGTGTTTTAGAGGCTGTACTAACCTGAACACTCCGCAGTGTGGAGGTAGTGTTTTAGAGGCTGTACTAACCTAAACACTCCGCAGTGTGGAGGTAGTGTTTTAGAGGCTGTACTAACCTGAACACTCCGCAGTGCGGAGGTAGTGTTTTAGAGGCTGTACTAACCTGAACACTCCGCAGTGCGGAGGTAGTGTTTTAGAGGCTGTACTAACCTGAACACTCCGCAGTGTGGAGGTAGTGTTTTAGAGGCTGTACTAACCTAAACACTCCGCAGTGTGGAGGTAGTGTTTTAGAGGCTGTACTAACCTAAACACTCCGCAGTGTGGAGGTAGTGTTTTCGAGGCTGTACTAACCTGAACACTCCGCAGTGTGGTGGTAGTGTTTTAGAGGCTGTACTAACCTGAACACTCCGCAGTGTGGAGGTAGTGTTTTAGAGGCTGTACTAACCTGAACACTCCGCAGTGTGGAGGTAGTGTTTTAGAGGCTGTACTAACCTGAACACTCCGCAGTGTGGAGGTAGTGTTTTAGAGGCTGTACTAACCTAAACACTCCGCAGTGTGGAGGTAGTGTTTTAGAGGCTGTACTAACCTAAACACTCCGCAGTGTGGAGGTAGTGTTTTAGAGGCTGTACTAACCTGAACACTCCGCAGTGTGGAGGTAGTGTTTTAGAGGCTGTACTAACCTGAACACTCCGCAGTGTGGAGGTAGTGTTTTAGAGGCTGTACTAACCTGAACACTCCGCAGTGTGGAGGTAGTGTTTTAGAGGCTGTACTAACCTGAACACTCCGCAGTGTGGAGGTAGTGTTTAAGAGGCTGTACTAACCTGAACACTCCGCAGTGTGGAGGTAGTGTTTTAGAGGCTGTACTAACCTGAACACTCCGCAGTGTGGAGGTAGTGTTTTAGAGGCTGTACTAACCTAAACACTCCGCAGTGCGGAGGTAGTGTTTTAGAGGCTGTACTAACCTAAACACTCCGCAGTGTGGAGGTAGTGTTTTAGAGGCTGTACTAACCTGAACACTCCGCAGTGTGGAGGTAGTGTTTTAGAGGCTGTACTAACCTGAACACTCCGCAGTGTGGAGGTAGTGTTTTAGAGGCTGTACTAACCTGAACACTCCGCAGTGTGGAGGTAGTGTTTTAGAGGCTGTACTAACCTGAACACTCCGCAGTGTGGAGGTAGTGTTTTAGAGGCTGTACTAACCTGAACACTCCGCAGTGTGGAGGTAGTGTTTTAGAGGCTGTACTAACCTGAACACTCCGCAGTGTCGAGGTAGTGTTTTAGAGGCTGTACTAACCTGAACACTCCGCAGTGTGGAGGTAGCGTTTTAGAGGCTGTACTAACCTGAACACTCCGCAGTGTGGAGGTAGCGTTTTAGAGGCTGTACTAACCTAAACACTCCGCAGTGTGGAGGTAGTGTTTTAGAGGCTGTACTAACCTAAACACTCCGCAGTGTGGAGGTAGTGTTTTAGAGGCTGTACTAACCTAAACACTCCGCAGTGTCGAGGTAGTGTTTTAGAGGCTGTACTAACCTAAACACTCCGCAGTGTGGAGGTAGTGTTTTAGAGGCTGTACTAACCTAAACACTCCGCAGTGTGGAGGTAGTGTTTTAGAGGCTGTACTAACCTAAACACTCCGCAGTGTGGAGGTAGTGTTTTAGAGGCTGTACTAACCTAAACACTCCGCAGTGTGGAGGTAGTGTTTTAGAGGCTGTACTAACCTGAACACTCCGCAGTGTGGAGGTAGTGCTTTAGAGGCTGTACTAACCTGAACACTCCGCAGTGTGGAGGTAGTGCTTTAGAGGCTGTACTAACCTGAACACTCCGCAGTGTGGAGGTAGTGCTTTAGAGGCTGTACTAACCTGAACACTCCGCAGTGTGGAGGTAGTGTTTTAGAGGCTGTACTAACCTGAACACTCCGCAGTGTGGAGGTAGTGTTTTAGAGGCTGTACTAACCTAAACACTCCGCAGTGTGGAGGTAGTGTTTTAGAGGCTGTACTAACCTAAACACTCCGCAGTGTGGAGGTAGTGTTTTAGAGGCTGTACTAACCTAAACACTCCGCAGTGTGGAGGTAGTGTTTTAGAGGCTGTACTAACCTAAACACTCCGCAGTGTGGAGGTAGTGTTTTAGAGGCTGTACTAACCTGAACACTCCGCAGTGTGGAGGTAGTGTTTTAGAGGCTGTACTAACCTAAACACTCCGCAGTGTGGAGGTAGTGTTTTAGAGGCTGTACTAACCTAAACACTCCGCAGTGTGGAGGTAGTGTTTTAGAGGCTGTACTAACCTAAACACTCCGCAGTGTGGAGGTAGTGTTTTAGAGGCTGTACTAACCTGAACACTCCGCAGTGTGGAGGTAGTGTTTTAGAGGCTGTACTAACCTAAACACTCCGCAGTGTGGAGGTAGTGTTTTAGAGGCTGTACTAACCTGAACACTCCGCAGTGTGGAGGTAGTGTTTTAGAGGCTGTACTAACCTGAAACACTCCGCAGTGTGGAGGTAGTGTTTTAGAGGCTGTACTAACCTGAACACTCCGCAGTGTGGAGGTAGTGTTTTAGAGGCTGTACTAACCTAAACACTCCGCAGTGTGGAGGTAGTGTTTTAGAGGCTGTACTAACCTGAACACTCCGCAGTGTGGAGGTAGTGTTTTAGAGGCTGTACTAACCTGAACACTCCGCAGTGTGGAGGTAGTGTTTTAGAGGCTGTACTAACCTGAACACTCCGCAGTGTGGAGGTAGTGTTTTAGAGGCTGTACTAACCTGAACACTCCGCAGTGTGGAGGTAGTGTTTTAGAGGCTGTACTAACCTGAACACTCCGCAGTGTGGAGGTAGTGTTTTAGAGGCTGTACTAACCTAAACACTCCGCAGTGTGGAGGTAGTGTTTTAGAGGCTGTACTAACCTAAACACTCCGCAGTGTGGAGGTAGTGTTTTAGAGGCTGTACTAACCTGAAACACTCCGCAGTGTGGAGGTAGTGTTTTAGAGGCTGTACTAACCTAAACACTCCGCAGTGTGGAGGTAGTGTTTTAGAGGCTGTACTAACCTAAACACTCCGCAGTGTGGAGGTAGTGTTTTAGAGGCTGTACTAACCTAAACACTCCGCAGTGTGGAGGTAGTGTTTTAGAGGCT